TGCCTTTTGTCTTGATCATGATGTTTGTAATCATTAAAACATAAACTTGTTGAAGCATGACTTTACATTCTCCCCCTTTTTGATGATGACAAACATTTTTCATGTGAAACGCTTTGGATCGCTTGAAAATGCAATATGCACCCTCTATCAATGATAACTCCCCTTGATAAATGCTTCTCCTTGATCAATAGAGTATGTTGACAATTTCTGTAAGAGATAGAGACAAAGCATACACATATATCTTCTCACCCTTTGTCATTAGCAAAAAGGAAAGGAAAAAGAAACAAAATAATATCATAACCAAAATAGAAGAATAACATGATATTAGTTGACATATCCTTTAGAAGATTTTGTCTTAATCCTTCATCATGAAGTATTTTCTTCATTGGATATGAAAGTTAGTGCTTATCTTTTTCTTGCCAAGAATTTTTCATTTGATGTTATCCTCACATGTGACACATCCCTTGGCCTATTAGATTTGAAAATTTGCTTATACCTCCCATCATATGATTGGATCAACCAATTATTAAGATATCAAAGATTTTTAAGTGGTCTTCAAGTAAACCTACAAAATAAGTTAAGTTTTGCTAGGTAACCAATGTGATTTGGGTCCTTCATGATTAGTTCCTTTCTCGACCCACACATAATTCTCACTAGTAACATTAAAATTTCTTACATGACAATTATTATGCGTGTGACCAATAATACCACAATATAAACAAGTAGGAAGAAAGTTGTTTATAACATAAGTTTTCTTTCTAGAAACTCTTTTATTAGGATAAAAATTAGTAACCTTTTCTTCCTCCTCACCATCGGAATATTATAATGCCATAAACACAAGATTTGCATATTTGTTGCTTTCCGAATCGGATGAAGAACTTGTATTACTTTCTTCAATGGAATCCCTTTTAGATTTTGAGAATTTTCTTCCCTTGTAAGCATTTTTCAGACACATTTGGGCACTTCATCTTTGTGTGTCCCCCTTTTCTATATTCATAGCATTTGACATTATGTAGTGACGAAGAGCCTTCTTTCTTTCTGAAAAGTTTCTCTCTTTTTGCAAAGTTGAAATATTTATCATTATTAGCGAAAAACTTACCAAGCCTTTTTATAAGATGCATGAATTCCTATGAATCATCTTCGTCAAGTTCTTCCCTTGAGTTAACTTTCAATGCAACGCCTTTGGAATCCTCATCTTGAATCTCATGTTGTTCTATCTTTCCAAGTTCGATTTCATGTTCTTAAAGTTTGCCGAACAATTCCGTGGATGTAATTTTTGAAAGTCTTTTCTTTTCCGATATAGCAGTCATTTTTTGTTGTCATTTCCTGGACAATGATCTAAGCACTTTATGATTTAATTCATCATTAGTAAAAGTCTTACCAAGTTCTATCAAATGGTTTGTCAGATGAACGAATCTATTTGCAAGTCGGTAATTATCTCTCGGGGCTGCATTCTGAAAAGTTCATACTTTTAGCTTAAAGTATTCAATCTTGACCTTTTAACTTCAGCGGTTCCTTCATGAGTTTCTACCAATGTATCCCATATTTCTTTTGTCCTTGTGCATACCGAAACACAAAAGAATTCATCCATGCTAAGTGCACCTTGAATAAGATTGATTGCCTTTTTGTCATAGAGAAACTTTTTCTTATCATCTTCATCCCATGAACCTTTAGGCTTTGACATACCAACACCGTTGACAACACTTTTAGGAACAAATGGACCATTTTGGACATCATCCCATATTTCTTCTCCTTGTGCTTCAAATGAGCCTTCTTGCAAATTTTCCAAAATTCAAAGTATTCACCACAAAACAATGGAGGCTTGTTATTACTACCATCGTCTCTAAAAACAAGATTTTAATTTGCGGAAGCCATTCTGGATCTTTAGGAACATGTTACCTATAACCTGCTCTGATACCAATTGTTGGTTTTTGAGTGCGCCTAAGACGGGGCTGAATAAAGTAGATTGCAAATTTTTATTCTTTTATGTGATGATGTTCTTATTTTTCTGTTTTACGTATGAATATGAAAGCGGTAAATGCAGACAAATAAATAACACCGGATATATTCAGGTTCCCCTCACATTCGAGAGTACTCCAGTCTCCTTTCAACACGAAAGAGATTTCACTATAGTTAGAATTATTGTACAGCCTATCCACATCATGTGTGATGCTTACTATCCAACCTATAGGGAGATCAAAGGCTCTTAAAACCTTTAAGATCTAAACACTAAGTGCAAGAAGAGCAATCCTCTTCAATGCACACACTTGTTTCCAATAATCCTAAAAACAAGGTAACTGAAACAACCGGATGAAAACCATCAAATAATGAAGTCACCATTGAATTTCTTTTATCTCACATGAAAGGAAAGGTGAACATTGAGAAAACCTGAGAAGGGAGAAGTCATGGTCTTGTGACCGAGAGATCGAGTAAGAGAGTATGTTACGCGAGGGGAAGGTATTAGCACTCACACGCCCGTAGTACTCTATAATATCCACTCTTGTTATCTATCTTATGGGTGTGTCTAATCTATGTCTACTACTTACTACTGAGGAAGAATGCAGGGAAAAGAAATGCAGGGAAAAGAAGGAAATATTTATGTATTTTGCATGGTTAGGCCCTGCGACCTATTGCCTATGTATCCCTTTCGAGGAATCAGAGTGTCGTAGTTTGGCTCACATGTTTTGTTTGTTTTGTGTATTTTATGAGTGATGAACCCTTGTAAAAACAGTTTTGAGTTACACCCTCAAGGCAAGATGCGACATTTGATTGGTTTATGTTTTTTTACCTTGGAAAAGGGTTTAAGTGTGATTAGGATGTTTTATAGTTTGCCAAGAAAAGAAGGTTTTAGTTTTAATGCACATGCAAAAGAGAAAGAAAATGCTAAAAGGGAAATGTCTACCTATGTTAGCATACAAAAGACCTAAGGGTGAGGATAACTATCCTATAGGGAACATGCAAAGGGATCGGAGTCGTTATCTCAATTCTAATTGAGTGACATCATCGATCATTAGAAAAGGAAAACGATAAAGCCCTAAGGGAGCATGCAAAGATCAAAGTTGTCATCTCAATTCTAATTGAGTGACATCATTGATCATCAACAAAGAAAGCAATGAAATCCTATGGGGAGCATGCAAAAGTCGAAGTTGTTATCTCAATGCTAATTGAGTGACATCATCATCCGTCAAAAGATGAAAGCAAACATAAGCGCAATTAGAAAACAAGTGCAGAATTCCTGCTACAGGTATTTAAACAATGATTTCGAGCGCACACTCTTTATTTCCTACTTCTCATGATATCTAGAAAAGCGGTAAAAAATGCGATAAAGTGCGAAAAATGTAAAAGCGGTAGGGGCGACTACCAAAAGCAATCGGATTGTCAAAAGTGGACGAAATAAATGGAGAAGCAAGGAGTACGCGTCGAGCAAGCTTCACCAAGAAACAAACAAAGTCAGAAACAATGTCCAACTAAGATAAAAATGCACGCGTGTTGCAAATGCAACGCGTAATCGGAAGTTCTTGCATAAAGTATCACAAAATATCACATGCACCCGGACAACATATAATATAATATGAATTTCCCATGAAAATGAGAAATAAGGTGTGTCGCATCGGAAGCGAGCATAAGCTGTATGCTTCGATCATATAACAACTTGTTATGTTACATGATCGAAAGCACGAAAACGTACCTTGCACAATGAACAAACGCGTCAAAAATAACAAGGCAAAACGGTGTAAAAATATGAACAAAAAAAACTAAAAGAGAAAAGTATTTTTTGTTAGTTTTTTATGTGAGTAAAATTCTATCAAAAACTAAAGAATTAATTCCTAAAATCAACTAAGATCTAACAAGTTTTATTGATTTTAAAATTTTGTCATAGGAAAAATTAATAAAAAAAGTCCTAAATTTAACAAAAAAATAAGTAAGCTCAGGGAGGTGTAACGTCTGAATCAGATGGTGCTGAAGTAAGGGCGCTAGGCCCATCAGCAAGGGTCCAGAAGCTGTTTTTTTGTCCAAGGTGTCAATATATCCAAAAAGAACTTTGTCAGTAGGCTCAAAGGGGGTGAGCATAGCAAAAATATCCAAGACCCACGAGATTCGTTCAATCCAATACAACTAGGGGTGTTCAAAACCAAACCGGCCCAATAGAAAACTGCAAAACCGAACCGAACCAAACCAAAACCGCAAAAAACCACATTTGGTTCGGATGTGTTTGGGTCATTTTCTCGCGGAACCGCAAGGTTCGGTTCGGTTTGCGGTTTGTATTTTACAAACCGAACTAAACCAAACAAAACTGCATTATGTTATAAAATCTTACTAACCAATATATATTTCTTTAATTCTTTAGAGAAATAAACATGTATTATGTATATTTTATCGTACCTTGTATTATATTCATTTTAATTTATAAATCATAAAAAAATAAAATATTATTCATTTATAAATACTATTTCCACAAACTATATTTTATCGTATTCTTTGTATAATATTTATTTAAGAATGCAATCTTGTTTATATCATTCTTTAGATTTAGATAAAATTATAATACGCAATTTTATGTATCAAATTATAAACTTATTTTGACAATTATAAATTTTTTTATGGTAATGTACGAACAATTAAACACAAAATTATATTTTCCTCTATATTTGTTTGTATGACTTTGTAAAAAACCGAACCAATCGAACCAATCCAAACTGCATTAGTTTGGTTTGGTTTGGTTTGAATTTATTTTTAAAAGCCAACCGAACCAAACCGAACCGCGTGTTTTTTTCTCTTGCGGTTCGAATGATTTTTTGCTTTAAAACCGCCCAAACCGCACCGCGAACACCCCTAAATACAACACAACCCAATCCATTTTTTATCCAAATTTTATTTTGATTTATTCAACATATTATCAGTTATTGAATTATCAACAAAACTAAAATAAAAACAATTAAATTAAAAAGAGATAGTGAAATGGCATCGTATAGAGGCTAGAGGCTATGGTTATTGGTTGTTATGACCATTCAGCTTCAATTCACTCAACCCCTACTCCTTATTTTAGGTGGCGATTTTCGGCAGCCTTCTCCGCCGCACCGAAAATCGCTTCTAGCGGCGGCTGGTGTCCAAACAACACTAAACCACCATGATATTATTCGTCTTCCATCCTTCCATCAACATCTGACTTTTGTTTCCATGATTCTTCACAAAAATATTCTCAATATACCTCTCAACAAAAACCCTAAAAAATGGAAAACGCAATTAAATGACGGTGATGCGCCAACTCGAACCACAAGCATGGGGAGAAAACTCAGGGAGTCGATGGATACGTGGTGGTATCAATAAAATTTGAAGAGCATGGGAGAATAGGTGAACTACCGCCGAAAACAGTGACAGTGACGAAGAGCCTCCCGTCTTTGATTGCCAGGTATCCCCGCATCACTTTCTTGCTTATGCTTCTCCCGTTTCTTTTTCTTTTTCTGGTACTGCAATTTGAATCGTTGTCGTTGTTGCGTTCTTGTTGTCATTGCTGCATTGAAGCAGAGAAAGATGATGATGATCAAATTTGTAGTGAATTTGATGAAGATTTTTTTGTTGATGCAGGGCGGAGTTGTGGTTACGAAGATGATGAAGGTCGCGTGATATTGCTGAAGTGTGCGTGTTATAGGGAGTATGTTGTGGATTGGAGATTGATAAATTTCAAAGAGGAAAGGTTAAAGGAGAATGGAGAAGGAGAGATAGAGAATGAAGATGAAGTTGTTAGAGTGATGGTTGTGATTGAAAGGTGAGAGAGATGGATGAAGAACGGTTAAAGGGTGAAGTTCTGGAAAATGATGGAGAAGATCCAAGGTGTTCAATGGTGTCTGAGATGAATGGTTAGATTGAAATAGGGAAGTTAGAAGTTAGTTGGAGGCTGAAATTTTGTTGGTTAGTTGGTTAGAGCTGAGCTGGAATTCAGTTATGCGGTTAGTTATCTTAATTGGATATTCTGTTATGAGTTTTGTTGAGCTGGGATATAGAGGTTTGTTAGTTACAAGTAGTTTGTGATCAGCTTAACAGTTAGTTAGAGGCTGAAGTTTTCTGTTATAAATTCACTTGAAAATCTCAATATTCGTTATTGGTAAATGATGGAAGATAAATATGAAATCCTGTTCTGATTTCCTATTACGAGTGTATTTCCTGATTTTCTATTTTCACGATTTTTTACTTTTCTTCTCTTTATATTTTCTTCTGATTTTCCTGTTGTGAATCTTATGTAGGGTATGCTTTGATGATGAGTATGGGCATTAACTACTTCTGATTTTCTCAATATGTAGGGGAATATTATGGCTGATATGTCACAGAGGGATGTTGCAAAGTTAGCAAGTATTTCCTTCTGGTTTTAGTGGGTGTGGGTCTAGTTCTTATGCGTCATGGCAGCAGATCTTTTCATGATGGGCATAGTCTACTGCACCGAAACTTACGCAGATTCATGTTTGTTCCTTTTTTGCAAGAAAATTGGTGCTCGATGGATGATATCTTCTGGACGGTGAGTATGCATTGCCATACCGTGATGCAAGTTATTTGTCTTGAAAATTCCCACGCGATAGTATTGTTTTGGCAATTTGAATTTGCATTGTTTTGATGTTGTTTTGAAACTGTTTGGAATATGCTTCCATAGTATTGATGATCTGCCTTATGAATATTGTAGATTATGGTTTTGGCATTGTGTACATGGCATGGAAGTCTCAACAGGTGAGGAAGTGAAGAAATTTGATGGAATCATCACAAGATGGAAGCTTGAAGCTAGGCTTTAGGTTTAGGACATTATAGATTTTTTTTTTATATATTTGTAATGAAGTGTAACGGCTTGACTTTTGTAAAACTTTATGATGATGATGATGTTGTAATAGAATAGGTTATGTACTTGGCGTACTTTGGATATCAAGCTCCTTATCCGCCATTTCCTTATTTTGAAAGCGTCAAAAGAGTGATAGTGTTTTCTTCTTGAATTCTAAGTAAACAAACTTGGATGATCATTACTTCTTTATTCCTAAATGATTAGAACCCTAGTTATGTGATGATCATTGATCCATGATCATTGATCCAAATTTCCTTATTTTAATCCATGATTATTCCATGTCCAAGTTCAAATGCCATTGCTTCTAGTAAAGTGACTTATGCCATAAGTGCACCAAGTGACTGGATGAAATTATTTGCCTCATAATGGCCACAAACCCTAATTCACGAAGCATATCCACTCGTCTCTTCTCTTGCACAAAAGCCATGAATATTCCAAGATCTCTTCAATAACTTGTGCCTTGAACCATGGTTAATCCCCTTGAGTGAGCTTTGAATAATAAGATGTACTTAATGAACAACTTCACATGGAACATCCTTTTGAAATCCACATGATTAGAAGAATAAACCCTGCAAAAGACATAAAACCTTAATGCACCAGTAAAACCTTAGTTCCACAACCATTGATCCAAGCTTGAGTGAAGTGAAAGCCTTAAAGCAATCGGGAATCCCTACACCTTCAAAATCCTTGACCCCATTCCAAATTATTTATTAATGATGCATGACGTGTTAAATGACCTAATGAGAAGTATGCATATGAAATGAGAAGTGCAAGACACATAAGCAAGGTCAAAGTAAAAGGGTATAGCAAATTTGGGGTATGGGAGTAACCAATACAAAGTAAAAAGAGAACAATCCTCCCTTAATATTCTCTTTCTTCCAACAATCCTGGACAGCAAGGTTACACCACAATCACTTTGGAAAAATGATTAGAAACAAATTCTTGAAGTAGATATGAAAGTTTATAATCAATGTCAATACCAAGTATTGATCTCTTCTCTTTCAAAACATTCAATGAATATATTACACAAGTGCTCAATGCATATGATGAAACTTTACTAATGATGTATTTGAAAATGTAAGAGAAAAAGTTTCATGCAAGATCAGAATATTAATCAATACACTTGTTTTAAAATGAGATATAAAATATTGTATTATATGTTGTGATTATTGTTGTTGTTATTGTCTTAATTTGCCTCAGAATTGAAAATGAAATTTATACATGTAATGCACCCTTTCAAAAGGTTCTAAATACATGGAAGAGTGCAATGGATCATGCCCAAAAGTTTCAATCTAACAACCATCATAACATAACTATTTTTCAAAAATGTTTCAACGGTAGTCGGTTACAGGTACGCAATAACTTGCTACCAGTCTTTGTAACGTTCATAAATTTCAAAAACGTGAAGCTGAAGTCGGTTACCAGAAAACAATAACAGGTTACCACTTGTGATCGGTGGATTTAGAACTGACTGTTTAACGTTGGTTTGTGAAATGTCGCGGAAGCAAGAGTCTCCACCGTCTTTTATTTTCTCCAACAAGGAAAGGACAAAAGCACAGCAAAATTCCTTATGAGATTGTCTCTCGGTTCGGGAGGTAGATTTATAGAAAGGGAAGGTGTTAGCACCCTTTCTATCCATGGTTATCCATGGGCTCTTAGATACTTGCTCATTTGTATTTTCAAAATGTTTGTTTGCTTTTCAAAGTGTGAGTGGGTTTGAAAAAGTTTCTTTGAAAGTTTCAGATCGACTCTTGTATCAGTCCTCAAGAGTGTTTGAAAAATTGTTTTTGAAAGCTTTTTGAAAAGTGTCGGTGTGAAAAGAAGTTTTGATTTGTTTTGAATTAGAGCAAGTATCTACGAGTCATCCACCTACCCTAAGGAATTAGGCTGTGTAAATGTCCTTAAGGTAGTGCCATCCCACCATTGAGAGGTAGGTAGCACCACCGTTGGAGGTGTTTGGGTCAATTCGTTTGTTAGGGACAGTGTGGTCACCGGAGCAACAATAGGACACCTTAGAAGCTACCCTTATGCCATGTTCATGGACATAAGGACTTACTAAAACGTCCTATACTCGACGACCACGTTTCGAGGGGCAAGGCAACAGTGAGGCGTACCCTAAGAGTGGTGTGTGAATTTGTGTATTGTTTTCAGTTATGTTTTATCTTGATCATGCATTGGGTGAGCTACGTTTTGATTTTATTTGGGCCATTCATTCTTTCATGCAAAGTTTAGCAGTTAAAGGGTGCGGAAATTAAAGTGCGGAAAATAAAGTCCTACGCTATTACAAGGCGCGGGTCTATACATCGCCAAATTAATAAAGACCCGTTTTGAATAAAAATGCGGAAGGTAAAACCTAGTTACTATTACACAGCTTGAGCAATTACATAATATTTGAAAGAAAATAAATAAGAATAAATGCGCGAAGAGAAATTAGAATCGAATGTTCGAGGGCGTTGGACCCTTTTTGAAATTAAATTGAAATTAGGACTAATTAGTTATTTAATTAAGAAAAGAAATGTTTTTTTTTGTTTTTTGTATTTAATGAAATAAGAAAATTAATTAAAATTAGAAGTTAAATAAAACCCTAGTTCTAAGTTATTTTTAATTGTTAAAGAAAAATATTCGAGTTTTAACCTAATTTACACTAATTAATTAATTACACGTTTATTTACAAAATAAATTAACAATTAATAACAATGATAATAAGAAATTATTTATTAAAAGAAAAGATAAAAAATGCCAAAAAACCTAATTTCTATATATTTTAGTTATTTAAGAAAACATTAAAATTTTAACCTAATTTTACTAAGTTGATTATTAAAAATTTATTTACAAAAATATTAAATTTTAAATAAACATATTTTATTTTTTTGATTTCTGATTTTTGTGTTATGGGAATTATTTTGTGAATTAAATAAAACAATAAAACAAATAAAAGAATAAAAAGGAAAATTAAAATAAAAAAATAAAAATATGCAAACCATGGGGGTGTCTGGCCCTTTTTGGAGGTGTGTTTGAAGCATTTTGGCCCACTGCAATCCCAAGCCCATTTGAATTTTTGTGGTTGCGTGTGCATCAGTTGACTAGCGTGCATGGTGGACCTCCATTCATAGCCTTCAGATTGAAGCTTCTGGGCGCGTGGCAAGCTAGGAGATGGGGTTGTTCAATGGACCTTTGAGGGCATGCTGCATAGAAACATATTGAGAAAAACATTATGGAAGAAGTGGGGGACCTGGGAATCGAACCCAGGTCCCAATACCTGCAAGCCAGTGCACCAACCATCCAAGCTATTGAGTCACTTTGTTATTATTATGGGACATGATTAATATAATAGAAAAAACAATATTATGCTGGAATAACAAAAAAACGCGCCAATGTTTAAACTATCCAACCATGTCCAGACACGCATGCATCGTCTTCATCTTTTTCCTGGAAATAATATCAAATAGCGGGGGTTTTAAACCCCCACTAACTGCAAAGCACAAAAATAGCGATTAGCATATGAGTAAACATAAAAAGGGCGCGAGGTGGTTGTTCAATTCGTCCTGATGTCCTGATTTCAATGGTACCAGTTTGGATGGCCAATTTTTCCGGATGAAGAAACCCCTCTTTTGGAGCTTCAGAAACCCTAGCAAGCGTTAATGGCAACTTTCTATACAGGCATTATTAATTCAATTCAAGGACACCAATAGCTTCAGGACATTCATATTAGTATAAATCAGCCATTAAAAATCATGAATCATGCATGGAATTTAAAACACGATTATGAATAATTTTATGAAAAGTGCAATCCGGTTTTACCAATTCCTTGAGTATGGAGGGCTGGTTTTGATTGCAAATGCTTCCTAGGTCGTCCAGCAATGTATTGGAATAGCTTTTAGGCCTTGAAACGTGCAGCAGCTATGAAAACAGTTTCCAATATTTTGTCCAAAATTGCAAGTTTGTTCTTGATTCTCTGCGCAGCTTCTTGTGTCCAATGCATTAGGTTTCAGTCTTGCATATGTATGTGAGTAGAGTTAGGTCAAAAAGCCAGCCCAAAATCCATCCATTTATGATTTTGAATATTTGATTTTGTCAAATCTTTTCCAATCTTTTTTCATGTCAATTATGCCAATTATGGAAGATTCTTTCCTTGGTGATTGATACACGAGATATTGAGGTCATAATGAGTGAATTGGTTGCACAAAAGGATTTGAAAAACATGATTTAGTATTTTTCTCATAATTAATTTTAATTAAATGAATTAATAATATTAAAAATTAAATTAATTAATTAAAAATAAGAAAATAACTCCCTTTTAGATCAATGGGTCGTGCATGGCCTTTGGGTAATGGTTCATGGAAGAATTTGTGGCCCATTAGCATTTTTGAACCCTTTTGTGCAAAGTTGACTTTCCAAAATTCCCAAAAATTTCCCAACTTCTGCAAGGCATATATTGCTCAATTTTTAATATTTGATCATGTTCTTGGACATTTTGGAAAGGTCTTGAAGTAATCTAACCAATGCCTTTGGTCCCATGTCATTTTGATTTACCAATCTCAAGTTATGGTCTTTGACTTGAAGTGCCTTTTTGTTGACTTTTGAAAATGACCTATAATGTTGAGATTGATAACTTTTTATGAGAGCATTTCTTGGACTTGAAGTGTGAAGATGAGTTGTAGGAAATTTCATTCTCATCACAATGAGCTTTGGATGGAATTTTTCTGATAAACCATGTGGAAGTTATGCCTTGGTCAATTTGCAGTTGACTTTTCCAACTGTCCAAAAATAGAAACTTTTGCATCTTGAGACTTTTTGAGCCATGCCTTGAGAATCATGATCAATAATTGATCAAATGATGTTTGTGGCTAAAAAATAAGATGTTGACCAAAAATTTGGACTTTTGACTGTCAAATGACCATTTTGCCCCTACAGTTGATTGTGAAGCATTTAGGGTTTTTGACTGTGCAATCTGGT